CAAAGAATGAGGATTCGTCAGCATATCAAAATAACCTTTATCACCAAGTAGAAAATGTCCAGCATGCTGTGTACGCACCCAATGCTTGAGCCAGCACTAGGACCACTTCTTGGCATGTCGTTTCCCTTGTTACTCCACATACCACCCGTGGGATACCATCCACAAAAACCTTCACTTCCATTCTGTCCAGTCTTGGATCTGCCCACCCAAAAAAAAGAGAAGAGATTAAAAGCGTGTGGCACACTGACCAGAGTATCCTGTTGTCTGTGTTAGGGGAAGTGGTGGAGACAGCTAAATAACCCTCATTAACATTCACTGTAATCTGTCTGCCCATCATGTGTAAGTCAAGCCTCAGGGCTTTGACAAAATAGCAGAGTTACGCACCACGGTGAATAAAATGGCAAACAGTGTAGATACCTTTCTTTCATGCCTTTTCTTTCAGGATAGCAGAAAGAGCAAAATAAGAAAGATGATGGGGGCGAGGGGTGCGGAATAGCACATGGATCAGTATTAGCACATTCCCACAATGTCAGTTGTTTCAGTGCTATTTAGAATCCCAAACCATAACACAGGGCCACAAACCCCAAAACATGTACGTTACACCTGTATCTATGCACACTTATCTGGCTGATGATCAGGCAGAAAAGCACAGTGGCCCAAACAACTCAATCTCTACTGTCATGGTCTACTCGCTGGCGGTCATTCAGAAATAGCTGATCAACATTTGCTACTAAGGATGGAATCCATCAAAGATAGTTCTGATTTTTCTTTTCCTTTCTATCTTAAAAAAAAAAAAGGACTTCAGATATCCAGGAAGAGGATTCTCATTACAGGAAAAGGCTTCTGCGTGCAGTTAAGGAGTTGAAGGCATTTACACTGGTATGTCAGGCTCTGGTCAGTCACAGATGTCTCTATGGAGAGATGGTGTAGCTCAAATCTGTATTATATCAGAAACTGCCTTGGGAATATGAGTCCCAGAAAGTTAATTCGGGGTAGTAGCAAAACGTGTCTCTTATTGCATGTATGTTAGAGTCTATAACATTTTGAAGTAGGCTGCATGCAGTGAGTTACACTGATTAAGAATAAACCCAGTGCACAGGGGTGGGCTACTAAAGTTTCAGCTTAAGTGATTCATTTATTGGTAGTAGAAGGTCATGGGGTAGAAGTCAGTTTAGTAGAGTCAGCTGACATGGACTTTATAAAGTCTTGCTAGGATTTGGAGGGCTTAGGAGGTCATGTAATAGGAAACATCTTAAAAATAATAAGAATTATTATTATATAGACTAAATGTGGTGTCAAAACAACCAACTGATCCATCTAAGAAAGTCTTTCGAGACCCTTTCTAACTAAGATCGTCTGCATAACTGGAATATTCTGGTAATTAAATAAGTAAATAAATAATAACAGAAAAGGGGCACTTGCTACAGAAAATCCATGGCAAAATCTTGTAGAGACTTACCTCTTTGTCCTGTCTGCAGCACAGATGCTCGCACACGTTTGTTCTGGGGAAGTGAATGTTCTGGTGGGGAGGAATAGTACAGCAATTAAGACCAATTAAAATTCCTGAACACATCACTGGGGGAAACTTTCTGATCCCACCCTTCTTGCATCTTTCCACTAAAAAAGGAAAACACAGAAAAACCAGATCTATATTACTAAATGTTTAGCGATATAAACCTTGACACGTTGCCCCGGGCAACATGCTCGTAGTAACATTAAAATGAAATGAAACACATATTTCTAGACTTCGCGTTTCGACTATATGCTGTGTTGTATTGTGCATGCACTCAGTATTGGCATTTGCTTTTATTATTTATTATTTAAAATTGATCTTGTGTATTCGTAATTACAGACTAGATGAAAGTCCCACCATGTTTTAGGACAAATCCAAACATGAATCCAGATGTGTGTTTTCACCAGCGGTAGATGTTAGCTCTGGGTGTTCCTCTTTATCTTTCAAGCAGGAAGTGTGATTACAATCCAAACACAACATACTGCAGCCCTCCACCAGCAAATGTGAGCAAAGAGCAGACTCTTTCTTGTGCACCAGAACTTTTTTTTTTAAGAAGAACAAGTTTAATCTTGTTCTTGGTACATTTAGACTCAGTGGCCTTTATTTATGCAGAAGTCTCCCTGCAGCTTTCAGAGGAGCAGATGAACATCCTGTAGAGGCTGGGAAGACTTTATTCATTTAGAGGAACTATAGGTAGAACTGTGTTAACATTGCACTTAGGAATGTTCAATCCCAAACATCACCAATTTGGACTATTTATCCATAGGAATCACTCGGTTGTTTGTGTGCTACATTTACAGTTTACACTCGTGCTTTGGTGTTTCTTAAAATCTCCTACAATATATCCCCAAAACTAAGGGGAAATGTGGAAATCACAGGAAACTGCTGCATGGCCAGATCCAAAGAACGCCTGTAGAGCGGGAGCCGGACACTGTGACACCTGTTGTTATTTGGTAGTGTCTGGCAGTTTGGATGATGATGATAGGAGTAATATGAGATGGACAAACTTGGACACTCTGCTCCCTCCTGCCTGTCTAAATCACATTTAGGCTACAGCCGCCAATAACCTCTCAGGTTCATATTGAAGAGTGTAGATCTCTCTGGAAAGACGAAATTCTTGAATCAGTCATTTTAGCTGTTTATCCTTGAAGTTCACTCTCACGTGGCAGATCGATACACTCTGTTCCTTGTGGCATTTGAGCAGGAAGCACAGATTTTTCCTACTGAGGCATGTAGCTGTAACACTTTAGTTAGCATTTTTGTGCAAATTGGGCACACCAGCTAAAGTTTGAGAGGATTAAACAGATCTCTTCTGTTTAAGTTAATAGTAGAAGAAACCTGTCGTTACAATTACAAGGAAATGTAAAACAAGATTGTGAAGTTTAAATACTTGAAAGGTATTTTTGTGAAATTTGTGCCCTATTTTAAATGATTTTTAAAAAATCCTTAATTCACCTTTAATAATTTAAACATTCCCATTCTGGCATTTTAATTCCCAAAGTCTGAACTGACTGACTGCCCACGTCTAACTTGATCTCTTTAACTAGTAAGAGGAACCTTGACATTTAGAATCACATTCCCTAAAAATAGATGGCTTGTTGGTTTGTGTCTTCCAGTGCACAGACATCGGGAAATGGGAGCGTGTGCAACACAAATCAACTTCATATATTTTCATAATATATCCTGCTATTCTGCAGTATTTAGCCCTCCAGATAGATTCATTTTTATTTTGTCTGATTCTGTCAAAAGCTTTAGAGTTAAATGGAATTAAATTTTTTGATAAAGCAGTAAAACTACATTAGAAAACTTCAACAGCAATGACAACTGAAAGAATTTATCCCAAGGAAGCATTGGAATATTTTCATTTCATGAATTACAATGAGACCCCAGGCTTTTCTCCCAGTTAAACTTTTTTTGTTATTTTATTTTGACTTTTTTAATCCACAGTAAGCTGCATAAGATAAGATAAGATAAGATAACCTTTATTAGTCCCACACGTGGGAAATTTGTTTTGTAAACCCAGTGCCTCCTAGCAAATCTTAACCGTTACCTGCTGTGCCTGTTTTTCATGTGTTTCCTGCTCAAAGCACGTTCTTTTGAAAGCCAAAAGCAACTGGAAGCTGCACACCCAAATCTGTATGAGTTTTAGCTCAGAAAATAGGCTTGGTTGTATATGATTACTTAAACGCATATTATTGTGCACAGGTTAAAACATGTATATGCAGTCCTGTGAAAAATAAGTACACCCGTAAGGTATGCCTAAAAGGTGATACCATGCAATACTCTGTCCAAGTACAGGCTTCAAGCTGATCAAAATGCTGGGGCAGGACCTTAAGATAGCGATGCGTTACCTCACGTTATTGCTGCTAAAGGTGGTAATCATTCAGTGAGGTTAGCTTGTTCTTTTTCACGTGACTCTAAGGTGATTTTGCTGAGAAATATTTGAATAGTTGAATTGGATGTGAAGTGTTGTGTTTCTTTAAGCAATGTCACATTTTCTCATTTAAAAAGCATTTCAGTAATACTGGTCCAGCCCTTATAGCTTTAAAAGCTTTAAAATGTTGCTTGTGTAAAGTACTTTTGAAATCAAATGAGGAAGAATTTGTGGGTAAGACCAAATGCTAGGTTGTATTAGGGTTTCAGCATCTCTGAATGGAGGGGGGGGGGGGACTTCAGATAGCTATGTCCCTCAGAGTCTGCCAGCCGGTGAGCAGAATGAACACCTGTCCAGCAGTGACTGGGGATCGAAGATTATGGGAAGGGATTTAGAAGTGATGGAAATCAGAGAAGTACTGAGGGGCAGGAGTGTGAAGGGACTTGTAAGTGAGAAGAATGACTGAATTTAAGGCAGGACTTTGGGAGCTATGTAGAGTGCCGAGAGTAGGAGTGATCTCTTGCCAGGATATAGCGAGTTTTGAGCACTTCACAGCCTGTCCTTGACTTTACTTGTGGCTTATTATTTCAATAAGACGCTATTACAGAAGTCCACACAGAATCTGACAAATGCATGGGATCCTTCAGCAACAGGATAGAGATGTAAAATCCAGAGACAAGAGCTGACTGTCATCTGCACAGCCATGATGTTGTGCTAGGAAGCACCTTGTTGTGAAGTTGAATGTTATTGTCTCTACCACCTAATGATGGAACACTAACAGTGCAGACAGGGCAATGTGGGTGTGAGCTTCCTTCTAATTTCCTTCTTCTACTTCCTCGCTAATTATAATTTATGCAAAGAAGTGGTTTATAAGTCAGCCCATCTTATGTACCACCTACCATGTTCACAGCAACTCATGCAGCTATCATGGTGTTTCATAAGATGAGTCCCCATGTATGCAAATACCTGTCAGTTTGTCAAAACACTATGCCAGCCGGGGGGGTCCTGTATGCACACAGATGACTTAAAATAGATCTAGACACATATGAGTTCCACATTACATCATGGCATGTTTCATGTGGCCACAGCGGGTTCTGGTTACAGTTGAGCAGAGGGTGCTTAATATTGCCCAGAGCAAGCACGGGGCTCCACACTTCCCAACTACAGTGGTCCAGTGCCTGACCACCCGCTACCAGTCCTCAGGATAGTTTAACTGAAGACCATCACCATGCCGAAAGTTTTGGTTCCAGGTCAGTTTGGGCAAAATGAAACAGGGACTTCATATATACTACACTAACAGAGGGGAGGTTTGGAGATTTTTTTAAAGAAATGAACAAAGTCTTCACCAGTGGTGCTATCATTTCATGGAATTTCTTAACCAGTAGAAGACAGAAGGGTGACAAAGATGTCCCTCTACTGCCCGACTGAGATGAAGTGATGTGCTGATTTTATATTACACTGGTCACACTTTTCTGTGCAGCATGTAGTATAAACAACTGTTTAGGCAATAAATCCACATTTGTTTAGCAGTGCCATTCCAGGGGTATCTTCCTTATGGGTGGCAGTGACAGCTTTAATGGCAGCTTCACTGGGGTTAAAAATGCACATACGTCCAGCGTGAGATAGTGATCTGTGTCTGCATAACACTAGCTAACTAGTGTTAATATGCACAATTCATTTAATACAATTCTATATCTATAAGATCTATTTTAAGCATGCGGTATATAGTCGTTGGTATTGTACTACAGGGGTGTGTATCAGCTTTTGGTAATGCACCTGTGGTTTACTATCAACAGTGAAAATAGCAGGAAAGGAAATACGATGAATGCTATTTGTCATCATGTTCACAGAGATTGTGTTTGCCATCCAGATAATTTTTCTAGGTTTGTACTTTCATTGTGATCCTTCTTGTAGTACATGCCCACCACAGAAAATCTCTGTCATTAATACTATTTTGAATGCTGCAGTAATAGTTGCTAATTTTAGGCCTGCCTTCACCAGGCACAGGGCAACCGGCCAGTTACATTATGCAAGAGTCTTTCAAAAGGTGAAAAGATGAAGTGCTGAAGCCTGACCACCTGCAGACAGGTTTGACTTCACAGCTAATAGAATTAAGTTGTATTAATTAGTACAACTTTTCAATTAAAAATACTTGTTGCAAATTATTTTGCAACAATTAATGCGGTAAAATATGACTGATTTTAAGACCTATTGATCAGCCACAGACAAAGTTGAGTGACAAATAATGTGGAAATGATTGAACCAATAATTCAGTTTACTAAAGGTGATATTTAGCTATGGCGATAGGAGTATTATGCAGTTTTCCGGGAGACCTCACCTGCTCCACGAGCCACTATGGATGATTTTTTTTCATCAATTGTTTAACACACTTATTTCATTGTTATTGTTGTTCTGAGATATAACCAGGCATGTTTTGTTTCCCCTTTAACCTGGACTGTCCCACCCCGACTGGGATTTTTTTGCTTTTTCACCAGAGGGAGGAAGTAAGTATCTAGATGGGAAATGAATTAGGGAATTTGAAATACAGATTCAAGTATTTCAAAATGCATGGTTTACTGCCTAGTTGTGAGGCAGTCACATCACCAAACCTGCATTTTTTTATTTGAAAGCAACCTTTTCTGATGGTTTTTTTTTTTTTTTGCGAATGAACACAAAAAAGGAAATGATGGGATAAAGTGCAAATTGACAGCATTTATTAATAAACTGTTCACATTCAATATCAGTTCTCCACAAACAGCTTGATCCATGAGGACTCAACTGAAAGTGAACATCTGCATTAATAAATGACTTTTTGCCACCACGAAAAGCTTAACATACAGCGATGCACATATCAAGAACTTTAGGTGACAATCAAACCGTTTGGTACAGACAGCATATCCCAGGGCCACACAGTTAGTGCATCCTTATATGCATGACCATACTGCACATTTTAGTTGAAACATGTTGCTCCACTGGGAGCAGAGACACAATGAAACAATCTCTGTGTGTATTTTGAAGATGTGGTCAGCAGTTTTTTGTCCAGCTCCTGCATTTCATTCAGTTGCAACACTTAATCAATTTTAACAGCCATGTGTCCAATCCATACACATCCTCACACTGTGCCTTACATTAATGTCACTTACCCATTTATCACAAGTAGTCCAACATTTAATTTCATTATTCATGTGTGCAAGGTTTGCTACTGCATGCATTTTCTAATCTATGTTGTTTTATTTATATAAATATATATATATATATAGGCTTTTATATTACACAACTTGATATCAACGTACTGTGGATAACGATAAAGTGTTTGGGGTTTATTCATGTATAACCTTCTGCATAATATTATCTAACCAATGCTTTTCCTAACACTTTCTTTTCTGGGTTTTATTCCCCATGATGCATCTCTCTCTCTTGCTGGGTATATCAGGTCAACAGAGTAAGTATGGAGAATGGCGAATGGAAGCCAAAGTCACTTCAGTATCAAACTCTATGCTAGAGATGTCACCTTAGAGGAGAATGTGTTGGCTCTTGCAAGTGCATGTAAAAAAGTAGAGTTGGTCTAGAGAGTATTTTTGTACACAGTGGGTTGTTAAATAGAGCTACAAAGGCTTTGCATTGTCACTGTCTCATTTTTGTGTGTGTTTGCATTAATCTTTGCGTGTGCATATATATTTTTTAGCATATTTTCATCAAAAACAAGAATAAAAAGCCACTTACACTGTGGCGGATTAGGTGCAATTACGCAATTATAAAGAGAAGTGGACCTGGAGTGCTTCATCAGTGTAGTCCCTCAATATGCATGATTGTTGCAGGCTATACTGGAGGTCAGAGTTTCCCAGTTGTAGTGACTGTTGCCATGTATGCTTGTGCTGGAGCCTGTACACATCATTGAGGAATATGCTGTGAATGCAATGCAATGCAGTACATCATGTCCAAGATTTTCCTCCTTAAAATTTTTTCATTTTGTAATGTAGATCATAGCAGGCAATCCTGAATGTGGCCCGCCTAGTTTAGTTCGATGTTGCATGGTGTTATATGAACGGAATGCGTTTCTGTTACTTGAACTTTCTGTGCGCATCACAGAGACCGATGACAAGATGAGGGCCTTCGCAGAGCAGGTCTTTGCTTCTGAGACCAAAGACGAAACGATCCGCGATGAAATCTCCATGTTTGATGTGGCTGAGGACTGTCCCATCATCCATCATGAGATGGCCCACCATCTGCACACTGATGATGATGAGCAGAAACGGTGAGATGGAAGATTTTGAATAGTGATGCTACAAAATCATGATTTGCTTCCTGAAAGAACCACAACGACAAAAAATCATTACACAACTTTATTATTTAATGGGGGAAATTTGCTTAGTAGTAACAACAAATATTTGATCAATTTTGACAGAAAAATTAAGTCAGACTTCACTATCTCATCTTCCACAGCAAGAAGCGCTCCCGTACCATGGCCGTGCCCACGGGTGCTTCCCAGGCAGCTGCTACTGTAGTGTCAGTGGAAGTGGACACGCCCACCTATCTGGAAGTGCCTGACTTCCAGAGAGTGGCTGTCATTGGAGACTATGCTGCTGGGGTACTGTTTATTTTCGCATAATTAAAAAACATTAAACTTCTTATGTTACACTTTGAGGTCAACCATAAATAACACCTTCGTCCAGTGGTGTAACTTCACAGTGTATTAGCACGTTGTGATGTCACTCGGAGGGGTGGTTCTGGGTGCGACAAGGTAAAAGTCTTTAAAGCTTATAAAAGTTATAGCATGAACTGAATTTTAAAAGAAAGTAGTTTATTAAGCACTATTCACAAATGCTTGGTAAGACTGACATGCATTTCAATCAGACTGGCTTTTCAATTGCAGCGACTCCTGAATAGGGTTTGAATTGGTATTGATAGCTTTAAAATTGAAACTACCTGTAGCACATTCAAACTGGGTCAAGCAGACATGAATGTGACAAGTGGTGAGTATAAATTTCACTGACTATATTTTGTTAGTGCGTGAGTGTCCTCACAGGCTACCTCCCACTATGAAAGGCCATGAGTGGAGCTCATGTGAGAGTATGCTAAAGTTTCAGGTTTCACCACCGTTGGTTTGACATTTACAGTAGAGCGAGAGAAAACTTTGGAGGAAGTGACTTTGCTTTAACTTTGGGCCTCACATTTGTTAAGATAAAGGTTTGTTCACTGCATATGTAACATGTTGTGTTAACATTACACAGAGCAAATGACTGATTGTGTAATATATACTCTTTTTAAAAAAAAATTGCCATTGAGATGAGATTGGAGCAAATAAAAAGTTCTAGTACTTAAATTTGTTTTAACAGTATAGTATCCATCTGCTTCATCCATCCATCCAGTTTATCCAGTTTAGGGTCGCAGGGGTGCTGGAGCTCATCCCAGCTGTTATAGGCCAACCTGGACAGGAAGCCAGTCTGACACAGGGCTAATGTGTTTCATTAATTCCACATTGTTTAACAGTTTACTGTTATCTCTCGTATGTGCTATTCAGGTGACCATGGATGACTTTGAGCTGGCATGCAGGGGTCTGTACCGTGCTTTAACCATCAGGGAGAAGTACATGCGACTGGCCTTCCAGCGCTTCCCAAGAACAGCCTCCCAGTACCTGCGTCAGACTGAAGGAGAATCTTTCAGACCGGAAGAACAATTGGAGCCAGGTGATAATAAAAGGAGATCAGGGTTAGCATGATTTGAAATGATCTTATGTAGAAGATGTGTACTTAATTATATGTCGCATCTATCCTCAGTCTTCACAAGTCCTCCAAAGGAAGGGGAAGACCCCTTTGATGTCAAGAACCTGCCAAAGAATCTGGGCTATGTTGCTCGTATGAAGGATGGTGTGATTTATGTGTACAATGACGCTGCAGCTGCTGACAAACATCAGCCAAAGGACATGCCCTACCCAGACCTCAATACCTTTATCGATGACATGAACTTCCTCATTGCTCTTATTGCACAGGGCCCAACGTGAGTCCTTTAAAAGTGCTCATTACCCTGTTTTTAGATTTTAGAACTGAAATTCATCTGATTTCAAAAAGTGCCAACACAATTTCTCCTCATTTTTGTAATTTAGCTGTAATTCTTCCTAGGTGAAAGTGCTATCAAAGCACAATTATTTCCACTTTATTTTGCAGAAAGACTTACACTCATCGCCGTCTTAAGTTTCTCATGTCCAAGTTTAATGTGCATGAGATGCTGAATGAGATGGAGGAGATGAAAGAGGTGAAGAAGAACCCTCACAGGGACTTCTACAATTGCAGAAAGGTAGTTGCTTTAAACCTTCTGTCAATTTAATGTGAAGTGACATAAAATAAAATACCAGTGTGATTAGCACAGTTGCAGGATTTTTCAGAAATCTGTGACTATCAACAGCTTTGTGCTGGTTTTAACTGGAATGTGTAGTAGAGTTTAAGTAATGTCCTATTTATTTGTTGTGCATGATCATTTCACACATTTTCTATCATCTTCCTTACTTCCAGCTGCAGTGCAGCTCGTGGAGTCTTTAGCTCCCTCTTGTGACCGATCACATGTATTACATTGCACAAACAAAAACCTCACTGATCACCCTGCCATCTCTATTCCTTTCAAGGTGGACACTCACATCCATGCTGCTGCCTGCATGAACCAGAAGCACCTGCTGCGCTTTATCAAAAAGTCTTACCGTGTGGATGCTGAACGTGTAGTGCACAACCTCAAAGGGAAGGAGGTCACCATGAAGGAGCTCTTTCAGTCCCTTAACCTGCATCCATACGACCTCACTGTGGACTCACTGGATGTGCACGCTGTGGGGTTTTTTTTTTTTTTTTTTTTTTTAGTAATCTAACAACTAATAACATACTTTTATTATAGTAAAGTAACAAGGCACACATACTGACAGGATACATTTCCATGAAAGCCATTAAGTGTTCAAGATAAGAATAAAAATATGTAATAGTCAGATAATAACAAAAAAACCCCCAAACATTATAATTGAAAGATAAACCATCAGTTTTATATTATCTTTAAAGGATTGTACACATAGAACATAAAGATTATAGTGCTACCAAATTTACCATTTAGCAGGACTTGTACCATGATGACCAATGTGCAGGAAAAACTGCTGCTGGGTGAGCAACGTGTGGCCTCACCTCTGTAGGCCACACGTTGCTAAAACCGGAAAACTGGATCAGATTCAGTAAAAGGATTAGATGTTACAATCCCTTACAATGCATTGGTTTAAATGGAGAGACTCTTGGAGGATGGCTGTTATGAGGAAAAGCAGCCCAGAAAAGTTACCAGCGGCACACGTCGTTGTGTACCTCAACCTTCGTTCTTTTACCCAAGATAATCTGCCATTTTTCCTTGGTTAGGTTTAGGGATTAGAGATCTGATCTAAGTGATCATATTAAAATTTGGGGCACATTGTCAGTAGTGGACCTTGGATTCATCAAGTGTTTCGGCTATAGGATAAACTTCTTTTCTAATTCTTGAGGAAATGTTTAAATATCAAAAAGTTTGTATTCTATAAAAGCAAACACTTTTATTAAAACCAAATGTGTCGTGTTGCCTGTTCAGTTTTATAACTTCTTTGGTCTAAATTATCATCTTGTATCTTTCTCTGAAGGGTAGACAAACCTTCCAGCGTTTCGATAAGTTCAACGCCAAGTACAACCCAGTAGGAGCCAGTGAGCTGCGTGACCTGTACCTGAAGACAGAGAATCACATCAATGGAGAGTACTTTGCCACTATCATCAAGGTTAGTTTCAAACGACTTCTCTGTAAAACTGTATAACTGTCACTGTGGCAGCTGAAGATCAAGGTTGTTATAACTACTTTATTAATATTCAGTTTTATACACTGAACTGGTGATTTGAGCTTGATTTGATCTTTGGGAAAACCAGGAAGTAGCCAGTGATCTCGAGGAAGCCAAGTACCAGTATGCTGAGCCCCGTCTGTCCATTTATGGCTGCAACGCCAACGAGTGGAACAAGCTCTCGAACTGGTTCGTCAGGCACAGGGTTTACTCCCCAAACCTCAAATGGATGATTCAAATACCTAGGATCTAGTAAGTTTTCAGTCTTCTCTTTGTTCTGTATAAACACACCAAACTGTCAGAGAGATGGAAAACTCTTACATTTATACATTTCATGCTTTTTCTTTTTGTTTGCCTGCATTAAAGAATATGCATTCAAATACTAAAGCTACCTCTACTGCTACCAAGAATGGATGAAATTTTCATTTAAATAATGCCATTTGTCCATGTTCTATCTCAGCGACATCTTCAGAGGCAGAAACTTTGTGCCACACTTTGGCAAAATGTTGGAGAACATTTTCCTGCCTGTGTTCAAGGCCACCATTGATCCACAGTCCAGTCCTGAGCTAAGCATCTTCCTCAAGCATGTGAGTCACTGTTCAGACACAAAAATACATGCTGAACCTTGATTTCCAATCCACACATAAAGATATAGCTGTAGAAAAGATTCAATCCGAATACTACGGTATAATCCCGGGATAATCCATTGTTTTCTACTCAATGTGTAGGTGACAGGCTTTGACAGTGTGGATGATGAGTCCAAACACAGTGGCCACATGTTCTCCACTAAAAGCCCCAAACCAGAGGAGTGGGACATCGCCAAAAACCCCTCCTACACCTACTACATCTACTACATGTATGCCAATATCGCTGCCCTCAACCAGCTGCGCAAGTGAGTAATGCTATTTCCATACATGCTTTTTCTTTTTTCATCCTATTGGATTGAAGCACTCGGATTTCTTTGTCAGAGATCATTATTTTCTCTAAACATTTACAGTGAGTATATATTTAACTCTTGTCTGAGTATGTCTGCTACTTTCTGTTGTATCATTCCTGTTCTTCTGCTCTCCAGACAGAGGGGCATGAACACATTCATGTTCAGGCCTCACTGCGGTGAGGCTGGTGCCATAACCCACTTGCTGGCTGCATTCATGACTGCTGACAATATCTCTCATGGCCTTAACCTCAAGAAGGTCAGTCCTCTGAATGCAGCATTTCATTTGCCTTAAAATGCACTTTAATTCATATGCATGATCAGGCAATTGCCAGACCAAGCAACCATAACAATAGTCTTAAAACACAATATATGTCGAATCAAAGTAGAAAATGTTTTTTTTTTTATGTGTTTGCCTATACACCACATTTTATATAATATCTGTCTGACAAGTTAACAGTGATAGATTAAGTCAGCCTAACTCTTTAGTTGAATGTGGCCAATGATACAACTGACATGTAATTCTAGTATTGAAGTGTAAAGTTCAATTTCAGATTTGGCATGATTCTTGTGAGCAAGTTAAAACATTGATTATTGCCTATTTATATTTTGTGTTGTTATATTTGTTAAAAATATGAAGCTTGTAAAGTCACTGTTTTCCCCTCAACCCTTCACAAACAGAGCCCCGTGCTGCAGTACCTGTATGTCTTGACCCAGATCCCGATCGCCATGTCCCCACTGAGCAACAATAGCTTGTTCCTTGAGTATGCCAAGAACCCGCTGCTTGAGTTCCATAAGAAAGGCTTGGTGGTGTCTCTGTCCACCGATGACCCCATGCAGTTCCACTACACCAAGGTCTGAGCCTTTGGTGACAACATAGACACCTGTTGTGCTGTTTATTGTTTAATATGTAGATGGACAGAGATGGTCAGCATTGATGATAAACACATTCTGTAAATCAGATAAATTGGTGTTGTGTGCAATTTTTTTTAATGCAATCCATTTCATATGATCTCAAGTTGAAGCAGGAGTATTCAGTAATATCAGTCTTGTTTTTGTTTTTTTTTAATGTCCACAGGAACCTCTAATGGAAGAATATGCCATTGCAGCTCAGGTGTTCAAGCTCAGCACCTGTGACATGTGTGAGATTGCCAGGAACAGCGTGCTTCAGAGCGCCCTCTCTGATGAGGTAAAACAGACACACACCTACAAGTCTGTACTTGAGTCAAAGAGAATAACAAGAGCCAAGAGAACATTACAAAATACATATATTCTTAGTGACACTATAGTGAGAACTACCAAAGGTGGTTTGAAGAACTTTGACTGTAATTGCCAGTTAAAACATTTCTTTGTGGGGTTCTTTTTGCGCTGCAGGAGAAGCGCCACTTCCTGGGTAAGGATTACCTCAAAGAGGGTCCAGAGGGCAACGACATCCGCAAAACCAACGTGCCTCAGATCCGTATGGCGTACCGCTATGAGACCTTGTGCTACGAGCTCAACCTCATCAAGGAGGGCTTGAAGTCTGAGTAAACCGACCGGACCCACCCTTACTTAGACACTACTCTCTTTTGTGATATGGAAAAGTTTCTACGTTTGTTAATCGCAGTGGAATCTCAAAGAAGCTGACCATTTAAAATACAGATGTTCTCTCTATTAAAGGAAGAAATGCTTTTACAATCTGCACATCTGTGACTTGCACATTACAGTATGTTTTTTTCAGTTGGAGAAACGTGTATAAGAATGGAAGGAAATAAACGGTGCAATTGCATTTCTGTGGTCGTTGCCAAATTGTTTACCCGACAGGAAGATCTTGTCCTACTGTGTTGCCTTAAGACATTTCTTGAAAGCTGTTTACCTTATTTATTTAACGTTTAGCAGCAAAATTACCTTAGGCTATAAGTCAAAACACGATATGAAAGTCAGCATTTGTTCTAACCTAAATGAACCGAGTTCACATCATGTTGCCAAGATCAAGTTTGAGACAAGGTATAAAGTCTAAAGTTCACAATTACGTTAGAGAGGCTAAAGCTCTGCATCACAAACGTCATAAATTAAACACCTAGTTATGTTTATTAAGTTGTGCGATCGCAAAGATGGAGCTCCTAACCCAGTGTCTAGATTTCCCAGGACACTCAAAGACAGCAGTATTTGTTCAGTGTTGACAGCTGCAGGAGTTGAGGTGATGACGTCGTCTCTCTTGGAGGCTTCAGGCAAACTTTCTCACAGTCAGCGCGTCAAGCTCGACAGAAACAGTATGAGGGAAGCTGGAAGTCAAATAAAAGCACGGTAAACTATTTTTATTGTAAACAAGACAGAAATGTTGCATTACAACCCCCCAACACAGTTATTTGTTAACCACTTCCAGCAGTGCTGTCATAAATAATGGTGTGGTGGATAATGCATGTAAATGTTGCTTGTTCCTTTATTATTTGAAATCATTTCAGATACTTTTGTTGCTCCCAAAACTCAGTGGCATGTGTTATGATGTCGATATCCCGGTGGTCTTGTTGGACAACTGACGCCAGCAAACGTACAATTGCAGTGGACTAAAATACATTTACTTTTACAATATTTACGTTTTATAAAGGACACATAAAAAACAAAAAACGGACAACATAAAAAACTGAACATAACAAAAAAAACAAAACAATTTTCACCCAGAAAGTTCAATGAACACCTTATAAATTGGGGGAAACGACACTCGGTGAATTGTTATCTCTTATATTTTGAAAGTTACAACCGGAAATCGCATTTTCAGGCTGACTTGACGCTAATTGTCCAAAGACGGAGGGCGAGGAGTGTTCTGCTTTAGCAGCTTTTCTCTCCTCTGTGGCCACTTTCTTTGTGGTTGTTGTTCATGCTGTGTTTAGATATTAGTGTAAGCGGTACGTTTTTATACCTCATAAAGTTTTCGTGCTCATAAGTTAAGTTTACCAGTCTGTAGGCTGCTTTTTTTGAACAACGGTAGCATTTTTTTTTTTACGTTATTGAGACCTTCCCAGATAGAACGATGAGACCGAGCGCAGTCGGATTTTATTTGCGGTTTTTATTTTATCGCCGGGAAAACGAGGAAAGAACATGAGTCCTGCTTATACTTTGGTAAGTAGTATGGATTCTATCACATCTACCCATCTTTCTATCTTTACACTTACTTCACAGCTTATATATCACTTTCTCGTAGAAAACCCTAGTTAAAATGTTCAAGGAGCTCTGTTTCTGCATTCAGTGATATCGTTAGCTAATAGCTGGCCGTAAAATTTATAGCTCTCCCACACTTCTCCAATCCTTGTGCTTTCTTCATATGGTGACAAGTCAACACCAAACGCCACTGAAACTATGGCAAGTTTAACCTGACGGTATTATGTATAGCTATTATCACGTTTTAATGTAAGTATCAATACCTTTTCTGGTTCAGTAAGTCCCTTTCTTCAACTCGGCATGCATCCAATAAATTATTTTTATTATTTTTCTTCTTTTCGTTTATTACACTGTACGATTTCACTGGTGACTAAAACGTTATTCCTGTATTGCTGTTCCAGCCGGCGGTTTAACAGGTTTCACCATAACGAGTCCGTTAAGTTTCCAAGTTTCAGTTCTTTGCAAGGGCGGGGTGACATTTTTTTATTATTTATTTATTTATTTATTTATTTATTTATTTATTTTTACAGTTGTTGTTGTTGTTTTTTTAAAACATGAGCCTAGTTTCCTTTCACTCAGTCCGCATGCATTCCTGCTAATCTCCAGTTTATCTCCGTTTATCTGGACATAGTAACTATTCATAACAGAAAATATGGAGGCAATTCAGGTCATAGAGCTCCCAAAGGTCTCTGTCCTTTAAGGCTGTAAAATGCTCTATGAAAATCATTTGTCTGCTTTGCCAAATATATAGGAAAATCAACTTGGTTAATTGATAACTGTCAAGACAAAGCCTCTTCGATATTCATGTGCCACTCAAGGTGTTATCACTGTGGTATTGTGAAGTAATGATGTTTAGATTGTTTATCTGCCTCAGTCTGTGTTTATGAGAGGATTTGGACTGTTTTGGCACAGCTAGCAGCAACAACTTGAGACAAAACACCTCATGAAAGCTGTTTGTCTGTCACTCCCTCATTGGAGATGTGGAAATGAATGCCTCTGTACCCCGCTGACTGCTGAAGGATCAGTCGTTTTAAGGTACTTTATCTTGCTCTGTCCTTTTATGTTGGTGTAAAGCAAACCTGCATTTTTCTTTTATTATACTCCCGACTGCCACTGCTGGTGATAAACTACAGTTGTACAATACCTCACCTCCAACATGTCATGTCATGCCACACGTCTCTGCAGGGCGTGTTGTGGCGGTTTTGAAGCTGCAATTAGGTTTAATTTAGTTGCCAACTGATGACTGGGTTCTCCAAGCTTTGTGTGTCCCCTGTCTAGTTTCTACATGGATGACTCAGTGAGTTTCACTAAAATAATGCTGGGATGCCACTCTGTAAAGCTGAACGCCTTATTAAAACGTTCATTTTGACTTTCCCTCTGGCTTTTCTACACAACAATGTACAGTTCACTGCTTTGGGACTAATATTTGATTTTAACTGAATACCATGGAAAAGAGGGAAGCTCCCATTTTGATATGTTTCACAGTGTTACTGTAAGTGGCCAGTGGCTGATATATTTCTGGATTTCTTGTATTTCCAAGTCAGTGTTTGAATATAGATGATCTAAACATAGCTTAAACCAGTGGTTGGGTGAAAATCTTTCTGCACCATAATTATGGACACTGCTGATCCTTCTTCCTGCAGCTCAGGAAACGCAACTCATGTCTTCCTGTACTACATACCGCACACAGACGAATAAGTGCAAGTGGGTCAGTTCGGGAGCTGCATTGTCATTGCGTGGTCTGGCTATGATGGAGCAGCATTCCACTACAAACATACGTTTAATTTGGGTCAAACGCAGACAAAGGTGTCATTTGCAAGACTGAGTGACTGTCCGACTGTCTGTAGCTGAATCTATTTACTGACCCTCCTCCTCTCCATCTGCAGGAATGCAGCTCATAGTCATCATGAACTATGCTGTGGAATTTTACCATGTCTCCCCTTCTTGATCCTCATGTGCGACGTGTCCAAATAGTTTGGTTCCAGCGAAGCAGGAGCAAGAGACTTCAGCAATCATGTTGATGCCGGCTAAGGATATATAAATCAGACTGAGTGCATTGCAAAACAATCGCAGACATCAAATCTGTGCATGTTTGACAACATGTGATTTTTAGTTTAAAGTGCATATAGCAAAGGCCGCAGTTATTTAGAATATGTTGTCTTATATCTTTTTATTTTTTGTGTCTGATAAATAGTTAAACCACGTGAGGAACGCCTAATCTAGAGCTCGACCACATGTGGATAGGTGGGGTTAAAATGCTCCCCGTCATCAATTGTCGTTGGCTCTTTATGCAAGAAATGAGATTCGTGTGTTTTTCCGTGTCTCAAACGCTTCATGAAATCGCATAGACCAGGGGTCCCCAATCCCAGTCCACGAGGGCCGGTGTCCCTGTAGGGTCAACACACCTGAATCACATGATTAGTTCATTACCAGGCCTCTGGAGAACTTCAAAACATGTTTAGAAGGTAATTTATCCATTTAAATTTAAATCAGCTGTGATGGATCAAGGACACATCTAAAACCTGCAGGGACACCGGCCCTCGTGGACTGGGATTGGCGACCCCTGGCATAGACGGTCTTCCCCCATACCATTTAAAGACAGCCTTTCAAATGAGGTGCATTTGATTTGCTGTACTACAGGTGTTTTTGTATTTGACCAGCTATAAGGAGGCCTAGGAAGAAGGCATCACAGAAATCTCCTAGGCCTAGAAGAATTTTTTTTTTTTTTTTGGGGGGGGGGGGTCACTGCACACATACATAGTAGTGTATGTGTCACTGTCACTGTCTTTACTTTTTTTTCTCTTTTTTTACTAGGTTTATTTTCAGAAACCAGCATTCACATGAGTATGTTCTTGTCTTCACCTTTGGATGCATGCTGTTTCAGGGGAAAGATTTCCCTTGGGGTTTTGTTTCTCTGATCCTACAGTGTGCACTGTGCTCTTTGGATGTGATTTAATTGTACTGATAAGTAATTTTAGTCTGTCATCTTCTTTTTAGGTTGTTTTATAAAATGAGACAAGAGGAAAACGATCCTCTGCCACCACACAACGACATGAAGACAGAACAGAACCAACAATAAACTTTGTGGCTCTTTTGATTTTGATTACAGTTTATGGATAATTAACAATAAGTAGATTCTGTCTGTTGTGGGGAAATACTTGATACATTTACCTATGGAGGATTCGCGATGAGCTGACACAATATGCTGGCTCTAAGAGCGGAGCAGGTCAGACGTGGGGTTGGTGAGGTTGTGCTGCAGAATGAGGCTCCCACAGCCAAGCAAGGACGGCCACCATTGAGGATACCTTCTCACAAGCAAGTCATTAACATCAAGGAGAAGATCTCCCAGTGGGAAGGCCGCAGTCAGCAGAGCAGTGGCCATGATACTGGAGTGAAAGTACATCCTCTGACTGTATCTCGGACTCTGTCTGGAGATCTCCTAGGCAATGGTTGTCCAAACGAGAGCTGGAGAGGCGGTCTTCATGCAAAAGCCGACGTCTCAAAAAGAAATAACTCGGAATTTGATTTTCAGGAATCCCCAGCACAGGCTGGACACAGTGTGGGTGGCAGGAAGTCAGAACCGGTGCGTAGTGGTTCCAGTGAATTATTAGCCACATCGCCAGGAAATAA